GCTCCCACGCAGGAAGCCAAGCAACTTGAGGTCGTATGCAGGAAGACTTGGGTTCGATCCCGACCCTAACGCTTGCTGCATGCTTGGAGTTTGTGGTGTCTCTCTCGCCCATCATCATCATTACGGTGGTTATGAGATGTTAACTACCTCGCCTGGTATACAGGAGGTCTTGGGTTTTTTTCCCTCCGGGTCCTCCGGTTTTTCCCTCCCACATTTAGAACCAACATCCACGCGTTTGGCAGTATTTGGCTGCTGTACATTTCCACATGATGATGATGATGAGCCACTTCGTTGAGCTATCATTTGTGATGACCAGGTCGCTTCTGAAAAATAGCTCTACAGCTCAGTGGGCCTTACCTGGTAAAATAAAACATATTTTAGTTTAAAAAAAGAATTTGTTTATAGTAAGTCATGTTTTTAAAATGGAATTGTTCAAAATATCCAAGTGTGGCAGTACCCTCCGTAAAAGGAGCCTAATGCCTCGGTGCGACTTTCCTGGGTATATAAGGACAATGCGATTGTTGTTGTTTTTATTATTAATAGCATTAAGTATCCTTATTAGATAACAGTGACTCACTAGGCCCAAGCGGAAGAGCATTGCTCAGGTATGGTGCATATTGCGCCGCCCGGCATGTACGTGCTGTCACATCCGTCAGATGCTTGCGTGTGCCTGTGCTGTGTCAACTGTGCATGCGTCGTCTGTGTTCGTGTAGTGTAGCGGTTAGTGCGCTGCGCTCACGGCCAACACCCAGTGACGAATATTTAGACCGGTCCTGGGCCTCCCCTAGGTCGACTCAGCCTCAAATGAGTACCTGGTGCGGTGTGTAAACATCGCCACTGGGGAGACAAAGGCGGCCGGACGTGGTGCTGGCCACGCACTCCCTCGTGTGCCGTGCAGGCTTTTATGTGTGCTCGCTAAGAGCACTTGCCCCAACAACCTGTTTAGGCTATATGGGGGATATTTATCTTTGAGTGTGAGTGTGTATGGGGAGCGGTAGTGTCGTGGTTAGCGCACCGCATTACGAACCCGCCGACCTGATTTAGATTTCCGCTCACGGCCATCGACACCAGTAACGATTATCTGAACCAGTCGTGGGCCTCCCTTAAATCGACCCAGCCATAAACGGGTGCCTGGTGCTGTTTGTAAACATCAGCGTTGCGGAGACAAAGGTTGCCCGGGCGTGGTGCGGGCCACCCTATCCCCTCGTGTGCCGTGCCGGCCTTCATAGGTGGTGCTCGCTAACAGCACTTGCCCCCAACAACCTGTTAGAGGCTATACGGGGGACCTTTGTCTTTGTGCCGCGTTTCAGCATTGCTCAGGAACGCGGGAGGGCTTTTGTGTCACCGTGGAACCGTGATTAGCAAGCAGGAGAGATTTACCCCTCCATCAGAAACCGCGTTCTCTCCTTAAAAGGTGAGCATAGCTTCGCTGCGAGGGGAGGTGTGATTTAAGCGACGCAAGATAAATAACGTGAGACGCGCAGACTTTTGTGACTCCACTGCTGGATGAAAGCCTCCTCGCCACGGGCTTGCTTGGCCATTACTGCACCACGCTGGTCAGCGCGATATGGTGAATAGATGGAGTTGGTGGAGAGATCGGGTTGGTGGAGAGATGGGGTTGGTGGAGAGATGGAGTTGGTGGAGAGATGGAGTTGGTGGAGAGATGGAGTTGGTGGAGAGATGGGGTTGGTGGAGAGATGGAGTTGGTGAAGAGATGGAGTTGGTGGAGAGATGGAGTTGGTGGAGAGATGGGGTTGGTGGAGAGATGGAGTTGGTGGAGAGATGGGGTTGGTGGAGAGAGGGAGTTGGTGAATAGATGGAGTTGGTGGAGAGATGGAGTTGGTGGAGAGATCGGGTTGGTGGAGAGATGGAGTTGGTGGAGAGATCGGGTTGGTGGAGAGATGGAGTTGGTGGAGAGATGGAGTTGGTGGAGAGATGGAGTTGGTGGAGAGATGGAGTTGGTGGAGAGATGGAGTTGGTGGAGAGATGGAGTTGGTGGAGAGATGGAGTTGGTGGAGAGATGGGGTTGGTGGAGAGATGGAGTTGGTGGAGAGATGGAGTTGGTGGAGAGATCGGGTTGCTGGAGAGATGGAGTTGGTGGAGAGATCGGGTTGGTGGAGAGATGGAGTTGGTGGAGAGATGGGGTTGGTGGAGAGATGGAGTTGGTGGAGAGATGGGGTTGGTGGAGAGATGGAGTTGGTGGAGAGATGGGGTTGGTGGAGAGATGGAGTTGGTGGAGAGATGGAGTTGATGGAGAGATGGAGTTGGTGGAGAGATCGGGTTGGTGGAGAGATGGAGTTGGTGGAGAGATGGAGTTGGTGGAGAGACGGAGTTGGTGGAGAGATGGAGTTGGTGAAGAGATGGAGTTGGTGGAGAGATGGAGTTGGTGGAGAGATGGAGTTGATGAACCGCGCAAACTCCACCTATGAGTCGGGGGGAGGGGTCACGGTGGCCATACCTCTCCGCGCTGGTGAACGCGGCTGAGTGGAGATGATGTGGGGGGGGGGGGGGCACCTCTCTCGCTGCGAGACTGCGAGGTTTCTCTCGCCACGCCCGATTAGCCGTCGCCGGGAATCGAACCCGAGCGACTGTGCTCAGAGGGCATTTCGTGAACTCGCTGCACCACTTCTCCGGCCCACGCACACAGTGACATTGTCGCGAGCCGTGGTTCGATCTACTGCTGGATGAAGGCACCCTCGACGCTGCAATGTGACACGAATAGACAGACCTAGGTACTGGAGGGGTGGGGGGACCGAGGATCGGTTCTGATATCACTCGCCACTGATGTCAGCTGGGAATCGTCGGCTTCAGTTTCGAGTTCCAAGATGATTTTGTTCCACCGAAGGGTTATGACGAACGAGAGACCGGAATTGTGAGTCTCATTGGTCCGCCCGTACCGGACATCCGTGAAAAAAGAGCTTCATAGCTCATCGGATTTCCTCCTGCAGTACCCATGAAGCTAGTTGTAATTACTGGCGAAACGTCGTACACTCGGATTGTAAATGTTGTGGCTTGGCTCTCCAACACACCGGTGTGTTAGAGAGTACTCAGATTGTAAATGTTGTGGCTTGGCTCTCCAACACACCGGTGTGTTAGAGAGTACTCAGATTGTCAATGTTGTGGCTTGGCTCTCCAACACAGCGGTGTGTTAGAGAGTACTCAGATTGTAAATGTTGTGGCTTGGCTCTCCAACACACCGGTGTGTTAGAGAGTACTCAGATTGTAAATGTTGTGGCTTGGCTCTCCAACACAGCGGTTAGTGCTGTACTAGTGACGAATTGGCCACGTTCTGTTTACGTGACGAACCTTTACTAATTGGCTGTGTCGGGTGGTGGCGGGTTTCACGGCACCACATTTATAGATTTACGCGGTTTAACCCCCCCAAAAAAACCTCTATCATGGATGATATTGGTCGCGAAAGCCCTAATACTACTACTCCTACTACTACGTGTCAATCAGACGAGATGAAGATGCCCGAGTCTGACGTGCACGTGCGAGCAAAGCAAAACTACAAAGTTCGCGCTATGAAGCAGAGACAAATCGGTCCGCCTGATGAAGGCCGCTTGTGTTGCGATCGAAACGTCGTGGGTTTTGCTTTTATTATTTTTATATTTAATTTTCTACCTACGTGATTTAACCGAAAGAACCAAGAATATAAACAACACCCCCCATGTCTCTCCCCACAACTGTGCAGAACCTGGAATAAAGAAGGCGGTGATGGCTCGTCGCGGTTTCTCTGGCTGACGTTCAAAATGAGCTGTGCGTCGCAGTAGCCGGGGCAGATTAAAAAAAAGATTGTTATTTTTTAAACACCCGGAATGTGGATGTTGACTCGTGGGTTTAGCTTGACCCACACCCCCACCACCCAGAGGTTCGTGATCCAGCGATGAGGAGCGGGCTATTGCTGCTGCTGCTGCTCCTACGAACCCGGCGACCCGAGTTCGATTCCCGCTCACGTTCACCGACAAGCCCGGTGTGACGATTCGTGGTGCTGGCCACCCACCACCTCGTGTGCCGTGCCGGTCTTCATAGGCGGTGCTCGCTAACAGCACTTGCCCCTACAGTCTGTTAAGGCTACACGGGGGATCTTTGTTTTTGACGGTAATCAATAACAGTCCAACACAGACACACAGACACACACAGACACACAGACACAGACAGACACACATAGACAGACACAAATAGACTACCACAGAGACACACACAGAGACACACACACAGACACAAACAGACACACGCAGACACAAACAGACAGACACAGACACACACACAGACAGACACACGCACACAGACACAAACAGACAGACACACATAGACAGACACAAATAGATACACACAGACAGACACAGACAGACAGACACACACAGACATACACACAAACAGACACAAACACACACACACATACACACACAGACACACACAGACACAAACAGACAGACACACACAGACACAAACAGACAGACACAGAAACACACACACAGACACAAACAGACAGACACACACAGACGCAGACAGACAGACACACACACACAGACAGACACACACACAGACGCAGACAGACAGACACAGACAGACACACATAGACACACACACAGACACACACAGACAGACAGACAGACACACACACAAACAAACATAGACAGACACACACACAGACAGACACAGACAGACACACACAGACATACACACAAACAGACACAAATAGACACACACATACACACACAGACACACACAAACAGACACAGACAGACACACACAAACAGACACAGACAGACACACACACATAGACAAAGATCCCCCATATAGCCTTAACAGACTGTAGGGGCAAGTGCTGTTAGCGAGCACCTATGAAGGCCGGAACGGTACACGAGGGGGTGGGTGGCCAGCACCACGCCCACACACACAGACACACACACACATACACACACAGACACACACAAACAGACACAGGCAGACAGACACACAGACACACACAAACAGACACAGACAGACACACAGACACACACAAACAGACACAGACAGACAGACACACACAGACACACACACACACGCACGGACTGGCAGAGACACACGAGGCGTGGCCAGGCTTGCCCGGCCCCTGCGTGTGGCCTTCAACCCATAAAGACCGCCGCGTCTCAAGGCCGCGTCTCATTCGCGGTCTGAAGCACGGGGAACCCCGCGCGCGAGCCTGGGTCAGTGTGCAAACCTTGACGGAGAAGTGAAATCCTCTCTCGACCTTCCTCCCTGACATCAACCGGGACGCGCACCTCCAGCACTGCAATCATCATCATCAGCAGCATCATCATCGGCAGCGTCATTAGCAGCAGCGTCATTAGCAGCAACAGCAGCATCATAATCAGCAGCATCAGCAACGACATCATCATAATCAGCAGCAGCATCATCACTTCCACCTTGCCCCCGCTTCGGGGAGTTGTCACCACCATGAAGTCGACCACGAACTCCTGGATCTGCTCTTCCTCGAACTCCACCACCACCATCATCATCATCACCTTGATCTTCTGCTACCTCCTGTGCGCTTCCCACGCCGCGAGGCTCCATCATCACCATCACCACCATCAGCACCATCAACATCAGCACCATCAACATCAGCACCATCAACATCACCACCAGCAGCAGCAGCATCATCATCACGAGCCGGGGCTGCAGGAGCGCGACTCCAGGACCACCCAGGAGGAGACGGAGCCGTCTCACGCGCCCCTCCGTCATCTCTCCGGGGAGGTGGAAGCGATCAAGAGGGAGATCCTGGAGCGGCTGGGGCTGGAGGAGCCCCCGATGGTGCCCGACGCGTCCCGCGGGGGGCCTCTCCAGGCGAGGCTGGAGCAGGAGCAGCAGGAGGAGGAGGCGTGGGCACGGTACCGAGAGATGGTCGCGAGGCGAGCCGGCTCCGGGTCTGGAGTCACCGGGGGAGGAGGAGGAGGGGACCCGGAGTCGAACCCAACCACCTTCACCTTGACGGCTCACACAGGTGCGTGGATGGTGATCCCTCGCCTGGTCTGCAGGAGGTCGTGGGTTCGATACCGACCCTGACGCCTGCTGCTGCTGTATATTTGGAGTTTGCGTGTCTCTATCTCATCATCATCACGGTGGCTAGGAGATGTTAGCTACCTCGCCCGGTATGCAGGAGGTCGTGGGTTCGATACCGACCCTGACGCCTGCTGCTGCTGTATATTTGGAGTTCGCGCGTCTCTCTCTCATCATCATCATCACGGTGGCTAGGAGATGTTAACTACCTCGCCTGGTATACAGAAGGTCGTGGGTTCGATACCGACCCTGACGCCTGCTGCTGCAGCTGTATATTTGGAGTTTGCGGTGTTTCTCTGCCCGTGGTCGCGTGGATTTTTCTCCGGATCCTCCGGTTTTCCCCTCCACATTTAAGAATCAACGTCACCGCGTTTAGAGCATTTTGGCTGCTGTACATTTCCACGAGATGATGATGAACCGCCAACTTCGTTGAGCTATCATTCGTGATAGCCAGGTCGCTTCTGAAAAAGAGATACTATATAGCTCAGTCGGCTTTACCCGGTAACAAAAAAATATATATTTATTTTTAATGTTAATAGCAGGAGGAGGATGATGATGATGACCAGTGCCGTGACGAGGCTGGCGCGAGACCGGGCGGGTTCAGCTGCCGGACCGAGGAGGAGTCAGCGCGTTGCACAGCGAGTGGCTAGCGGCCTCAAATTGTTAGTGGGACGGTGTTGCAACAGGGTTAGGGGGTGGGGGGGTCAGTGCCGGATGAAGCTAGTGCGGGACCTGATACATATGTTATAAAAGGGCCCTAAATAAAATAAAAACACGTAAATATGAAAACACAATTTTTTTTACTCGCATAGTAACGTAATTGTATTTTTTTTTCATTTGCTATACAGCCAGATAATAGGACAAATCGCTAACCTTAAACACCCAGTCGTTCGTAAAAGGTGAAGGCGGTATAGTACTATGGTAATAGAGCAAGTGCAGAATCACTGAACCGGAATTGATAGCTTGAAAGCATTCAGCGCGGGCCCCTTGAAAGTGCGGGGCCCGTAGCATATGTAGTACTACTACACGTGTAGCTACTACTAGTAGCTAGTACATATGTACTACTGTGTAGTACTACTGTGTAGTACATATGTAGTAGCTACTACATATGTAGCTACTACATGTGTAGTGCATATGTAGTAGCTACACATGCAGTAGTAGCTACTACATATGTAGTAGCTACTACAAATGTAGTAGTAGCTACTTGTGCTACAAGGATCATCCGGCACTGGGGGGCGGGGGGGAGGCGTGGAGGCTTGAGGACCGATTCAGACATCACTCGCCACTGATGTTAGCCGTGCCCGGGCAAAGGGGCTCGCTGCGTAGTTAGCGCCGAGTTCGATTCCCCGCTCACGGCCAATAACTGCCGGAGCGAATATTTGAATGGGTCCTGTGCCTCCCCTAGGTCGACTCAGCCTCAAATGAGTAGAGTATCTGGTGCGGTGTGCTAAGCATCAGCATTGGGGAGACAAAGGCGGTCGGGCCGGGGTGCTGGCGACACACGCCCTCCTTGTGTGCTATACCGGCCTCAATAGGTGCTCGCTAATGGAACTTGCCCCGACACTTAGCTGAAGGCTATATAGGGGATCTTTGTCTTGTGTTTAACGAGTTTGTATGTGAACAATGAGTGGAGCGGTGGCGCAGTGGTTAGCACGCTAACGCTACGAACCCGGCCACGGCTCTAATATCAGGGGCTCGAGTGATATCTGAACCGGTTTTTGGGCTTTCTCTAGATCGACTCAACCTTAAACATGATTACCTGGTGCAGTATACATAGTTCCAGAAAGGCCACGATCTAGCATTCTACTTATATTATTTAAATGTGGCCATGAATAATATTTAAAATGTTCTTAAAACATAACCATCATTGAAACACATTTTACTCATCAAAGAATCAATTAAGAATTTAGTAATCATCTTTAACATTCGATTTTTTAAACGTCTTTGAACAATATATAACTACCATGTTATATTAAAAGTCATATCTATTTTTTTATGTATTTCATGAAGCAGTGACGTGAGCAAACTTGCCGGTTTGGAACTTTAAGATTGTTTCCCGTCAGTATAAGTGAACAATTAAGTTATGTAAACATATAATCATCACCATTCAAATTTTATTATCTCTACATCACTTTGATGCATTGCTCTTACACAGTAATTGCATCATTATCAATACAACTAATGCATTGACAAAGTCTGAAAATCATCATCGCTATTGCACTATTCAAAATAATCATTCGCGTCATTGGAGAGAATGTAAAAGATCCAAGCAAGCGTGACACTTCTGATGAGACACTAAATGTCGAAACCGCTCCAGAGGTTTGCTTGTCCTGATTCAATGCTGCTGAGATGATGCACTCCCACAAGCCAGTGCGGCTGGTGGGTTCTGTAATTCATACTTTCATTCATTTTTACGTGGAGAGACGAATCATATGTAAATGAGACACTGCTTATTTGCAGTACGTTATCATCACGATTACATTATGTCGCCTGTCTCATAAATATCATCATCATCATAATAATAATTGTCATAATCTCTTTCCAGGCTCCCCGGTGATGACATCATCATCATCATCACCGCCCCGCTCCCTGCGCCTCCACTTCTCTCTGGAGGAAGTTCTCGCGGCCTGTTCTCGACATCGCCTGCGCGTAATGTCAGCTCACCTCGCCCTGACCTCCACCTTGACCCAAGCACTGGCCCCGGCCTCCACGCTGACCCTGATCCACGCGAGCGGAGACGCCTCGACCACGGCGCCTTCCACCGGGTCGCCCGACTCGGAGCCCCGGGCGAGGCTATCCCTGGGCGTCCGACTCCAGCGCGGGGTTCGATCCCGGCACCAGGCGTCTGTGGACGTGAGCGTCGCCCTGCGGGGTGTCATCGAGAAGTGGCTGGGGGACAGCAGCAGCAGCAGCACCGACAACAGCAGCAGCAGCAGCAATAGGAGCAGTGAAATCAACATCAGCAACAGCAGCGGCAGCAGCGATATCATCAGCGGCAACATCAACACTACCAGCACGCTAGCAGTGGACATCTCCCTGCCGTCTTCCCCGACCGCCGGCGAGACGTCGCCGAAGTCGTGGGCCTCGGGCGTCGTCCTGCGCGTGACGCTGCGAGCCCGGGGCCCCCGGCGCTCGACGGCGCGCCGGAGGAGCCGACGCGACGCGTCGCCGGAGGACTGCGCCGACTCGGAGCAGAAGAAGTGCTGCCGCTCGCCCATGCGCGTCTCCTTCGCCGACATCGGCTGGGACGACTGGGTGAAGGCGCCCGCCGAGTACGCCGCCTACGCGTGCCAGGGCGCGTGCCCGCACAGGTACAAGGCGGCCAACAGGTACGCGTTGCTGCTCGCCAAGATGCATCGGCTCACGGGCGGGGCGGTGGCCGGGCCGTGCTGCGTACCCGCAGCCCTGGAGCCGCTCGTCCTCCTGCACTACGACAGCGACGGCAAGCTGGCCGTGTCCGCCGTCGAGGACATGATCGTGAGCAAGTGCCACTGTCAGTAGACAGCGCGTGGTGGCGGTGGCGGTTAGTGGCGGTTAGTGGCGGTGCCCTGCCCACACAGCCGGGGGACACGAGGCGGCCGGTGGAGATGCCGCAAGCGACGGGGCCGTTCTGGTCGCTGGTCAAGGAGGGCGTTGCCCTCGGCGCGAGGTCCTCAACCGCGGGGAGGTCGAGGAGGTTGGTGGAGGTCGGGAGGGAGGGGGAGGGGGGTCCAATGGAGATGCCGCAGGAGGTGAGACACTGGGTCGTCCGCCGGGGAAACAATTGCGACGAGACGTCACTGCCAGGAGATGAGGAGCTGCGTCCAGCGAGGACGTGACCCTGACGAGGTGTCACCCCCGGGAGGCGACGCTGGAGATGCGGCGACCCGAGGACATTACAGTGACAGCGGTGGATATCACGTGGACATACTGATCCCCGTCATGTGATCGTGCAATTTCCAATCACTGGCTGCAGCATGCCAATGAACACGGGCATAAAGAATATTTGGGGTGTTTTTGTTTTTATACGGTGGGTTTTCTAATTCTGGGTTGCATCTCAACGTTTAATACTTCATCCATCATCATCATCATCATCCTGGGAAAGGGGTGGGGTTTGGGAATTATTTTCTGGAGCTCAGCCCCAGGCACTTCCGGCAGATATGAATCCCTGATTGATGATGATGAAGATGCTGATGATGATGACTGAGTAATTGTTCCAGAACAAGAAGGAATTCTCAGAACCACGGTCGCAAGCTATGGTTTGGACGCGTAACGGTTATCGTATTGAGATTTAATTTATTTGTATTTATTTGTGTTTAGAGCCATTGTGTTTGTTTGGTTATTTATTTGCCGCGATGTTAGTGACGCGGGGAGAGTTGTGGGCATGAGGCGAGCGGCTGAGTCCGGATGATTTGACGGGGTGCACAACTTGCAAATACAGACGTGCATGGAAAAAACAATGATGCAGTCACCTCGGCGTGGAATTTAATTCGCGTGAGTCCGCGATTGTGGTGGGTGCTGCTTCTCAGAATCTGAATATTTGTTCATACTGCAGGAGCAATCCGATAAGCTACAAAGCTCTTTTGCACAGATGTCCAGTAGGGGCACGGGGTCAGAACGTCAACAACAGCAAACAATACACAAACACGACGGGAGTGCAAGTACAAGGTAAACAAATCACTTGCAATAAATGCAAATACAACTAACGTTTTTTTTAATCTTATCAGATAAAGCCTACTGAGCTATTAGCTTATTTTGCAGAAGCGACCTGGCCACAAATGAAAGCTCAACAAAAGTGGCTTATTATGTTGGAAATGTACAGCAGCAAAAATAATCTAAATGTGTGCAGGGCAGTCCATAAGGAGGTGGCGGGGGGAGGGGGTGAGGGATGCGGAGCCCGGGGCAAACCCCACCGTGTGGACCCCCCCCCCATGCCTTCAGACTAAACCGGAAGGGTTACATCTCACACCGCCCCCTCCCCCCCCAAAGCGCGGGGCCCCGGGCGGCCACCCCGATTCGCCGTGCACCCTAGAGACGGCTCTGCTTGTCTGTACATGCAACCACAACAACCACCGCCGCCACGGGCCACAGTAACACGACGATAACCACAACGACCGCAACCACCAACAGCCGCCACACCATAACTAGGAGGAACACGACAACAACAAGGACAGTAGCAACAACCATGTGGAATAACACAACTACAGGAGAAAGGCAACAACGAATTTCACCAACAGCAGCAGCAACAGCTAGCGTCGTTCGCCACTAAGTGGCGGTGACGTCTCCACGGCGTTTTTTTTTAGCCAGGCGAGGTGCACCCGCACGCAATCAGTCACCACGTTCACGAATAACCACAATCACTAACCGTAAATAACCACCACCACGTTCACGAATAACCACAATCACTAACCGCCAACAACCACCACCACGTTCACGAATAACCACAATCACTAACCGCCAACAACCACCACCACGTTCACGAATAACCACAATCACTAACCGCCAACAACCACCAGCACGTTCATGAATAACCACAATCACTAACCGCCAACAACCACCACCACGTTCACGAATAACCACAATCACTAACCGCCAACAACCACCACCACGTTCACGAATAACCACAATCACTAACCGCCAACAACCACCACCACGTTCACGAATAACCACAATCACTAACCACAAATAACCACCACCACGTTCACGAATAATCACAATCACTAACCACAAACAACCACCACCACGTTCACGAATAACCACAATCACTAACCGCCAACAACAACCACCACGTTCACGAATAACCACAATCACTAACCGCCAACAACCACCACCACGTTCAAGAATAACCACAATCACTAACCACAAACAACCACCACGTTCACGAATAACCACAATTACTAACCACAAATAACCACCACCACGTTCACGAATAATCACAATCATTAACCACAAACAACCACCACCACGTTCACGAATAACCACAATCACTAACCACAAATAACCACCACCACGTTCACGAATAACCACAATTACTAACCACAAATAACCACCACCACGTTCACGAATAACCACAATCACTAACCGCCAACAACCACCACCACGTTCACGAATAACCACAATCACTAACCACAAATAACCACCACCACGTTCATGAATAATCACAATCACTAACCACAAACAACCACCACCACGTTCACGAATAACCACAATCACTAACCGCCAACAACCACCACCACGTTCACGAATAACCACAATCACTAACCGCCAACAACCACCACCACGTTCACGAATAACCACAATCACTAACCGCCAACAACCACCACCACGTTCACGAATAATCACAATCACTAACCCCCAGCAATAACCACGTTCACGAAAAATCACAATCACTAACCCCCAGCAATAACCACGTTCACGAATAATCACAATCACTAACCGCCAACAACCACCACCACGTTCACGAATAAACACAATCACTAACCACAAATAACCACCACCACGTTCACGAATAATCACAATCACTAACCACCAACAACCACCACCACGTTCACGAATAACCACAATCACTAACCGCCAACAACCACCACCACGTTCACGAATAACCACAATCACTAACCACAAATAACCACCACCACGTTCACGAATAATCACAATCACTAACCACAAACAACCACCACCACGTTCACGAATAACCACAATCACTAACCGCCAACAACCACCACCACGTTCACGAATAACCACAATCACTAACCGCCAACAACCACCACCACGTTCACGAATAACCACAATCACTAACCGCCAACAACCACCACCACGTTCACGAATAATCACAATCACTAACCCCCAGCAATAACCACATTCACGAAAAATCACAATCACTAACCCCCAGCAATAACCACGTTCACGAATAATCACAATCACTAACTGCCAACAACCACCACCACGTTCACGAATAACCACAATCACTAACCACAAATAACCACCACCACGTTCACGAATAATCACAATCACTAACCACCAACAACCACCACCACGTTCACGAATAACCACAAGCACTAACCACCAACAACAACCACCACCATCATGAATAACCACAACGTCTATGCGCAACCACCACCAGTCACAACCGCAGAATCGAAAACAACAGCGAGCAATCGCAACCACCAACCACTTCCCCGGACCACCACAATCAACCACCAGCCACAATCTCAACCACTTCCGCGAACACTTACAGCCACCAACAATCACAACCATCAACCACTTCCACGGACCACCACAACCACCAACAATCACAACCATCAATCACTCCACGGACCACCACAATCAACCACCAGCCACAATCTCAACCACTTCCGCGAACACTTACAGCCACCAACAATCACAACCATCAACCACTTCCACGGATCACCACAACCACCAACAATCACAACCATCAACCACTTCCACGGACCACCACAGCCACCAACAATCACAGCCATCAACCACTTCCACGGACCACCACAACCACCAACAACAATCACAACCATCAACCACTTCCACGGACCACCACAACCACCAACAATCACAGCCATCAACCACTTCCACGGATCACCACAACCACAAACAATCACAGCCATCAACCACTTCCACGGACCACCACAACCACAACAATCACAACCATCAACCACTTCCACAGACCACCACAACCACCAACAATCACAACCATCAACCACTTCCACGGATCACCACAACCACCAACAATCACAACCATCAACCACTTTCACGGACCACCACAACCACCAACAATCACAACCATCAACCACTTCCACGGATCACCACAACCACCAACAATCACAACCATCAACCACTTCCACGGATCACCACAACCACCAACAATCACAGCCATCAACCACTTTCACGGACCACCACAACCACCAACAATCACAGCCATCAACCACTTCCACGGATCACCACAACCACCAACAATCACAACCATCAACCACTTTCACGGACCACCACAACCACCAACAATCACAACCATCAACCACTTCCACGGATCACCACAACCACCAACAATCACAACCATCAACCACTTCCACGGACCACCACAACCACCAACAATCACAGCCATCAACCACTTCCACGGATCACCACAACCACCAACAATCACAGCCATCAACCACTTTCACGGACCACCACAACCACCAACAATCACAGCCATCAACCACTTCCACGGACCACCACAACCACCAACAACAATCACAACCATCAACCACTTCCACGGACCACCACAACCACCAACAATCACAGCCATCAACCACTTCCACGGATCACCACAACCACAAACAATCACAGCCATCAACCACTTCCACGGACCACCACAACCACAACAATCACAACCATCAACCACTTCCACAGACCACCACAACCACCAACAATCACAACCATCAACCACTTCCACGGATCACCACAACCACCAACAATCACAACCATCAACCACTTTCACGGACCACCACAACCACCAACAATCACAACCATCAACCACTTCCACGGATCACCACAACCACCAACAATCACAACCATCAACCACTTCCACGGATCACCACAACCACCAACAATCACAGCCATCAACCACTTTCACGGACCACCACAACCACCAACAATCACAGCCATCAACCACTTCCACGGATCACCACAACCACCAACAATCACAACCATCAACCACTTTCATGGACCACCACAACCACCAACAATCACAACCATCAACCACTTCCACGGATCACCACAACCACCAACAATCACAACCATCAACCACTTCCACGGACCACCACAACCACCAACAATCACAGCCATCAACCACTTCCACGGATCACCACAACCACCAACAATCACAGCCATCAACCACTTTCACGGACCACCACAACCACCAACAATCACAGCCATCAACCACTTCCACGGACCACCATAACCACCAACAATCACAACCATCAACCACTTCCACGGATCACCACAACCACCAACAATCACAGCCATCAACCACTTCCACGGATCACCACAACCACCAACAATCACAACCATCAACCACTTCCACGGATCACCACAACCACCAACAATCACAACCATCAACCACTTCCACGGACCACCACAACCACCAACAATCACAGCCATCAACCACTTCCACGGACCACCACAACCACAAACAATCACAACCATCAACCACTTCCACGGACCACCACAACCACCAACAATCACAGCCATCAACCACTTCCACGGACCACCACAACCACAAACAATCACAACCATCAACCACTTCCACGGACCACCACAACCACCAACAATCACAACCATCAACCACTTCCACGGACCACCACAACCACAAACAATCACAACCATCAACCACTTCCACGGACCACCACAGCCACCAACAATCACAGCCATCAACCACTTCCACGGATCAC